AGGCTTTGCAGGTAAACTGATATATTTTAAGAGCTTAGGCCATTCAAAGTTGATTCTTCAGTTAATATCATCCCTCTTCTATATCCTCCTCTTCAAAATGCTTTCTTTCTTCTTCTAACATATCTGCCCACACTTGCAAATAATTATCAAAATCTTCATTGTCATTTGCATCTTTACTATCTGATTCTTCATCTGATAATTCAAACATTTCTCTATTTTCTAAAGATTCATAGATTTCCACATCTTCAGAATTTAAATTATTTGTACTATCCTGATTAAGTATTTCAATATTAGTGCCAGTTGGTTTTGCATCTATATTTATATCAGAGACATCTTTATTATCGTTATATGCTAAATCAGATTGAATCCGGTGACTATAATATCGGCACGTAACTTGCTCATTAGTAAAACTTTGGCAGGTTAAAATTAATTTAATAAGATCTTAATATATATAATTCAAAGGATTATCCTTATTAGGGTATCCAGAATTCTGCAATTTTTATCCACACATAATTGTACAAACTTTTGCAACTATTCTGGCCGATTATTAAGTAGTTCTATGCAGAGAATTTTGACTAAGACAATCGCTAAGTATTGTTTTGGGCCAACAAAAGCTCATTATGTATAAATTATTAATATAAGTATGACCAATGAATAATTGCAAATTCTGTAAATTCAGTATATTCATTACAAATTTTGCAGAATTCTAGACACCCTAACAGTGTTGAAAATTCGTTGTGCATGTATTGTTATTTGTACAAAATTAACAATGGGCTGTGCAAATTGCACAAAAAATAGAATAACATTCATGTATAAAAAAATATTTTTGCACATCATATTTGTGTCGAATTTTCAACACTGCACCCCAATACTAATATACGATAAATATACCGTTAATCGTTTACGCCGATTTGTATTCAGAAACCCCATACAGCTCCAAAGGCGCTCTACGGCAGCTGAATTTACACATATCCTAAAAATCCGAGTTGCAACTAAACCCAATTCTTCTGTTGATGAACTCGCAAAGTACCAATATTGACAAATATTACCTGAAAATTGATTCCATGTATCTATATCAAAAGGATATTTTTTTAAACGAAAATTATCAAATTCTTTTAAAATTTGTTTTGGATCTTTTCCAAACCATGCACGGTAATAATAAACTAGCCAAAAACCAAAATTAGTATAGTTAATATTGATGTTAAATTGCTCTAAACGATAATTGGGATGTAAAAGACAGGATAGAATTAATAAAGATTGTTCCCAATCACGCCATCGACGTTTCAAACGTAAAGTAAATTGAGCACTAAGTTGCAAGTCATCATCATAATTATTCCAATATTGAACAAGATAGCCTAAACTTAAGACAACCTGGTGTAGACAAGCTTTATTGGATTGCAACCTATTTAAAATAGTACAATATAGTTGAAGAATATTAAACAAATGACTAATATTGGTCCAAAAATTTACAGAGCTAATAGTTTCATAGATTTCGCGTTTCAATTTTGGTTCCATTCTTGTATGCGAAGTTTCTTTAATAGATGGTTCATACTTAATCGCAAGAATCTGGTAAAATAATAAAAATTTAATATTTTATTAGAAGTAGACTTTGGATCAATTTAAATTTATATGATTAGAACAATTATTTTAGAAAATAATTATTATATCATATGCAAGTTTTATTTTAATTATTTCATAATTAATTTTAATACAAGGTAACTTTCAATTATATTTTATTTAATGAAGTATCATTATTAATAATACTTCATTAAATAAACTATAATATAATTAAAGGCTACTAGTAATATGGGCTGGCCCCAGATCAGTGGCTAGATCGATAGGCTGGTCGACCTTTAGCCTTCATCTTTGCGGGCTGGGCTGGTCAATAGAAGAAGTGATAGAATTTATTTCTTTTCTAAAATATATTCCAAGTTAAAAATTGACCAAAAATCTAATAACCGTTATAGCAATATAAAAAAGATAATCATTAGTTTATCAAGATGATAAATTGACAAATAACAAATATAAAATATAAATAATAAAAATGTTCAGATATATAGACAATCAACATAAATGCTAACCTGTTAAAGATAAAGAATAAAAAATTAAATAGTTTAATATTGCTCGAATTCAGCAAGGAGCTATCTGATAGCTTTTTACATATTTGATATAGATATAAAGACTGATTTTAATTGAAAAAATTAAGGGTAGCCCGGTCAACTGGCCTGAGCTTTTTTAGGATCGACCCTGGCTATAATTTTTCTTCTAGCCCATATCACTAATCATTATACGTAGTTAAGGCCGTTTGAAGTTAATTCTTCAGTTAACATTACCTTTAGAACTCTTGGGAGGGGTAAAATGAAACGAACATATAAAAATGGGCCAATTTTATTGGTCAACATAAATCAAGTAATTGGTGAGAGTTATCCAGCATTTGATTGGTTGTTCGTTTATCAGAGGAGACTTCAGTAGAGAGAGGGATGATATTAACTGAAGAATCAACTTTGAATGGCCTAAGCTCTTAAAATATATCAGTTTACCTGCAAAGCCT